ATTAAGTTTTGTTTTGCTTGTTGTTGTTGTTTGTAATATTAATTTTAATTTAAGCATTTACTTTTTTCATGAATTTTACTTTAAAAGTTTGAAATTTTAATTAGTTAATCAATTTTGCTTTAAAAATTTAATTTAAAAGAAAACATAGAAACAAAATTCAATTTTATAACAAAAATGTTAGCTGTTAACCAGCAGTGCTTCAACTTTTGGCAGCTCGATAAATTAGCTATTATAAATCTCCCTGTTATTTGCTATAAAACTTACATCACCAAAGTGTTGCAAATTTTTATTATTTAATCTGTATTGTCGCAATGAATTGTGTCAAAAGCAATTAAAGTGCTCACAAATTTTTGTCTGAAAACTTTTATGAATATTTCGACTTGATTGCTTTCTGTTAGGTAGATAATTAGAAAAGTAATGGAAAACTAAAATTTAATTACTTTTTTAAGGCGGCTTCAAAAGCTATTATTTACTTAAAACAACAAAAGCTAAAACACCCTTCACGAATCCGAAAAAGTACTTGAGTAATCAGTTTCTAGGGTAGCTACATGCTATAGTGGGATGCCAGATTTCAGAGCGATATAGACTTATTCACAAATGGCGGGTCTTTAGGCGAAATTTATCTAATTTTTCTTTCTTCTGTGTGAATCTATTAAATGTTGTCAATATTTTAAACAAGATATTTATTAAGTGAAGTGCTTTCTTTTTCATAGTGTAGAGCATTTTAAGGCTTAAGCTTATGTATTTTATGATTTCTTGCAACAAAACCACATATTAGACAAAGAATGGCCTTGCGGAACATTGGGTTAACAGAATGTCATGTTGCTTTACAAGGTCTGCTGTTGATATAATACCGATTGTGAGTTATAACAATCGAACCTAAACTAACCCTAATCTCAGTTATAGTATAAACATACAAGGGTTCCCATTTGCATACATAGATGTGGTATAGTATTTCCTTTAACTCCGGTTGGAACACTGAGGCAAAACTAWTTTTATTTATTTATTTTTTTATTTTTTTGTTCGTATAAATGCCTTTAATTTAAATTATTTACAAAATTTTTAAAAATAATGACAATAACTACCATTATACAAGTGTATACGGATTAAACTTTTTTTTTTTTTTTAATTTTTTCCCCGT